CATTTGTGTTTTTTTGTTTTTGTTTTTTGGGGTTTTTTTTTTAGATTTTTTTTTTCTTGTTTGGTTGGTTGGTTTTTTGAGACAGAGTCTAATTTATTAGCCAAGGTTGTCCTAGAACTTACTGAATTGCCCAGGCTAGGCTAGAACTCATGGCAAATCTCCTGCTTCAGCTTTCCAAGAGATAGAATTACGGGCATGACCCACCAGGCATAGCCTAATCTTGGTTTTTCAGATATTTTATTCTACGTGTTTCTTTACAAAAACAAACACTTTTTCCTATTATTCTCCCAAGCTCATGGCGCAATGACAGGCACACAAGTTACTTCAGAAAGCTGAAAGGGTTCCAGGGAACGGCTCAAGAGTAATTATTCTACCACCTAAGGAACTCGGGTGAACATTCCCTTTTAAGGAAGAAAATATGCATTGTTCTCAATCTGAAAGTAACCACTCAAATAATTTAAAATTTTTCTTGTTAACCATGGTGAAAACATGGTAAACCCACGTGTTGTGGTTTTTCACTACACCACATTATCACATATCATAATTCTCTGTGAACTTCTAAAACATACACCCCACGATACACCATACATATATACTACACACAAACACACCCTAGATACACATGCATACCACATACATATCATACACATGCCCACAAATATACATATGTGCATGTGCTTACACACATATATACACCACCTGCATGCACACACATGCACATCACATACATATCGCATACATAACACACACATGCATACAAATATACATACACTCTAGGTACACATGCACACACACACACACACGTGTTACTTTTAATGGAAGAACAGTCTCAATTACTCTCAGACAAACAGAATTCTTGTTTACATTCCTGTCTGCCCCAGAGTATGGCTTCATAAGAATTTATTCTTCATTTCGTGCACAAAAGGCTGCCCTAATCTCCCTCTTTGGCAACTGGAGTATGTCCAGAACTTTTCAGTAGAAAAGGGCCTTTCTTCCTTGATCCCGAGCCAGAGTTGAAATGAATCTTGCAGGACTTAAACAGCCCAACATCTTCGCGTCACCACCGATGTCTCGTTCAAAGGGGTACTTTGGGCGGCAGGTGGAGTTATAATTATAGATTAGAAAAAAGCAACCTCAGCAGCTGTCACTTCTGTTTGTTCCCAGCTATAACTGTCACCAGTGGGCAAACTGGCATAAACAGGTCTCTGCAAGTGGAAAAACATTTAACCCTGGACTCGCTACTCGCCGGAACCTCACGGCAGCCAGAGGACAGGCGGAAACCCGCTGGTCCATGAGTGAAGGGTGGAAGCCGAGCAGCGATCGGAAGGCGCCTCTTCAGGGAGAGCCTGACATTTGAAGATTCCCTTCCCGTGGGAGACTCCGAAGAAGCAGGTTAGTGCGCAATCGGGTTACGCTCTTGAGTGGTGACCTTGGTGCTCTGTGGGTTTCGGAGTCTTGTCAGAGCCGAAATAGAAGGGTGCAGGAGCAAACGGAAGAGAGGAAAGGTGGCTAGAGACTTATTCAATCCCACCTGCCCGGTGAGCAACTGATGACATTTGGTTTCGTTTGCTGGGTCCCTCTCTGTGTCGTCTGTGCTCTTCTCAGGCAAAGAGACGAGGGAGCCATGGAAGAGTAAAGCGTGTTTTGTGGCAGGCGTCCCAATCTTTTGTAGGGCCACTTACTGAGGCAAAAGGCCTTGGTTTGGTTTTTAACTAAAATCAATAATGTTGAAGGGCAAATCAGCGATTTTGCTGTGGTTGCTGCTGTGTATACAGCTGCCAGCTCTTATTTCCTTAGAGAAAATAGAGAAGTTACAGTTGGGTGTGGTGTGCCTGTCTGATCCAAACATTTTCTTACTTGTGATAGAAGGTCTGGTACAGGTTGCTCTATAGGAAAAATATGCTGTGGGTTTTGTGTGTGTGTGTGTGTGTGTGTGTGTGTGTGTGTGTGTGTGTGTGAGTGTGTGGTTTTGTAATTTGACTTAAAAACTACATGTTCTCAGTCTAAGTTGCTCTGTGAGAAGCACTTCATCGTTTCATTGGAGAAAAGTTCATATTTTAAAGAAATCTCAGTTCATCTACATGGGACTTATGCTAGCCAGGAGCTGAGCAAGATTTCTTAAAAAAAAAAAAAAAGTCAGCTTTGAGATAGCTCAAAGTTGAATAACACATCTCAGTGAGAGAAGCAATGGCAAAGCAGAGCTCGGTGAAAATCAGGCTTCGGGGTCCATCCTCATCCTGACTGCATCCACGGCACAGATCCAGTACAAGGAGCCCTCAATCATGGACTCACTGGGGATGGAGCTCAGTTGGTGGAGTGCTTGCCACCCCCACCCTCCACCCTGCACAAGACTCTGGCCCTAGGAAACCAGGCACAGTAGCATAGTCCTACAAGTTCAGCACTGGGCTCAAAAGGTGGACCCAAAGCTCAAGGTCATCCTTACCACATTCAAGGTCACCCTTTAAAAAAAAAAAAAAGACTCATTTTGTTCAGCTCTGAGCAGAAAGTCTGCCGCCTTTAAGGATCTTGCTGAGACTTTCCGAAGGGAAAATACAGCATTTTAACTGCAAGGGTTGCCCAGAACATGTTCTCCTTTTGAAAGGGAGAGAATTCCAACTGTGCATCTGGAGGCCACTTAGACACTCACATCTCACTCAGTAAGACCGGCCACAGTCACCCATTAGCGAAAGTGCTCCAAGGGCCCGGCTTCTTCCTCACAATAGCTCCTGCTTTCAAAGAAGTGTGCCGTGGCTTTTTTCTCTTAGGAAGTTTAAAGATGAACGTAATACCTCTTTACGGATTTTGCGGACACGGCCCCGAGCAACAAGTATGGCCACCGCTTTCAGAAAGCATCAGTTTTGCAAACAAGTTTCCTAAATCCTCCTACTGTTAAGAAGCAGTCTTACGATGTGTCTCGTATACCGCATGTGTTAATTCGGTATTTATTGAGCGATAGCTGTAGACTCTAAAATAAGATGTAACAATTACAGAAATCTCGGGGCTTTTAAGAACATTCTTTCCGGAAACCACCTTCCTCCCCTTCTGCGCATCAAGGTTCAGTACTGAGATTCTAGACGGGGAGGTGGTGGTATCTATGAGTTCTAAACTATAAAAAGGAGTGGGGAAAAGCGGGGAGGGTGGATTGGCTAATCAGTTGCCGGCTTTGGTCTCCTTTGATTAGAAAAAGCGCGTGCATGCCAGTGCTGACATCAACCGTGTTTTTCACCCGTGTTTTTTGTCTTCTTGTTCTTCTAGAACAAAACTATCCGAGATGACTGTCACTTACTCCAGTAAAGTAGCAAATGCCACCTTTTTTGGATTTCATAGGTTGCTCCTCAAGTGGAGAGGCAGCATCTACAAGCTTCTATACAGGGAATTTGTTGTTTTTGCTCTCCTTTACACAGCAATCAGTTTGGTGTACAGGTACATTCGCTTTGCATGTCCCCTTAACCGGCCCTCGGGTGTTATGTAAGAATAGTCTCAAAAGTCGGATTCCCCTTAGTTGCCGCTGGCCTTCGCGTTATGTAACCTCTCCCTCTGCATGAACTTCTCTGTCATTTTTCTCTTCGGGACACGGTATTATAATCCACACCTAACCACGTATGAGAAGTAAGCAGCAGCAACCGACAGAGACAAGGGGCTCGCATTCCAGCCCCACAGGAACTGATCCTGATGAGGTGTCAGCCATTCGGTTTGGGGTGTAAATGGAAAGATTTATCCTTACACCCTCATCGTGTGATAATTAGCGGCAAAGCCCACAGACAAATATTTTTTTGCTTCTCTCAATGATGTCATTCAGAGTCTGAACTTGTGGCCCGACAGCTCGTTGCGGCTCCATATGGATCTAACATCTGGGGGAAATAGAATTTACCAGGCAGCTTTCCTTCCTTTAGTCTGGGTGGTAAGCTCAGACCCAGGATGGTGGTCTCAAACCTTACCAGTGCCTCGACAAAAGAACTAAGGCCCGAAGAATAATCTGTTCTCTATGTCTTCTGATTTCAGGATGTCATTGTCGCAAAAGGAGGTATTTGTTCTTTATAAAGTCAAGATGTGTTTGTGTCAGGTTGAGAGGCACTTTGAGGTCTAGCATATTTGCCTCTCAACTACTGAAAATTGCAGTCTTAATAAAATTTCACCAGTATGCTAAGACAGAAGCTTTATGGGTCATTAAACTAAAGATGAATCAATGGAAGAAGCGAATAGGAAAATGTAAGGTATTGAGGCTGCATTTCCACCTTAGCTAGAAATAGAATTTTTTCTTCTACCACAGGTGAACAAACTGAGTCATCATCTCACCTACACCCTTCCTTACAGCCACTAAACTCCATCCAGAAAAGGGATGCTCGCTTAGCCGGCTGAGCATTGCCCAAGCAAAACACGAGCAACTGTTTTGTTACCTGACAAAACCTCCACCCTAGGGCTGAGGATGTAGCTAGCTCCGGTGGTAGAGTGTTTGCCTAGCCTGCACGAAGTCCTGGGTTCATTCTTTAGCATCACGTAAAGCCAGGCATGCTGGCACAACCCTATAATCCCAGAATGGAGGAGGTGGAGACAGGAGGATCCAAAGTTCAAGATAATCCTTGGCTACTAGCGTTACAAGAGACCCTGTCCCCAAAATAAAACCCTATTATTCCAAACAAGTGTACATGCTAGGGTGGATTTTGTGGGGCTGGGGATTTAGCTCAGTGGTTGAACGATAGATGAACAAGTGTTAGGCCCTAGGTTCAGCCCCCAGTTCAAAATAACCAAAACAAACAAAAAAAAAATGCCAAGGCAAAAATCACAAGACTACGTTTCGCCAAATGTCCTTAGAGACTTCTAATCTTTTTCAGATATCGTATATGCTATGCCAACAGTTCAGTCACGTGACACACAAACCTTCAGAATGTGACAGATTAGCAAGCAGTGTTCCAGGACAGCTGTCTTGTTAGTTTATTCTTACTAACGTGAGATGACTGTTGCCACTCCTGCTCAGAATAGACAAAGCCCTGAGAGGAGTTGCTGTGTTGCCAGAAATGCTCCCCGGGGTCTCAACTTCTGCGCCAATATCAAACTCATACCCCCCAAAAGTCTACCCAGATTTTTGTCTTTCCAAAAATCAGAGTGTCTACATTTGTAACGATCACTCTAACTTGGCTTCTCCTTCTTTTTCAAAAGTCTCATTGTCAATTCTTGAAAAAGTAGGTTTTTTTAAAAAAAAATTATTTATTTCATGTTTATTGGTGGTTTTGCCTGCATGTATGTCTGTGCGAGGGTGGCAGGTCCACTGGAACTGGAGTTACAGACAGTTGTGAGCCATCAAGTGGGTGCTGGGAATTGAACCCGGGTCCTCTGGAAGAGCAGCCAGTGTTCTTAACCACTGAGCCATCTCTCCAGCTCAAGCAGATCCCTTCTATTGTAAGGATTTATCAAGAACTGCTAGAGTAATAAGTCAAGAAAGTCGAGCAGACCTGTGGGAAACATAAGCAGAGTTTGTTCTTGTGTCTACAATAGACTTTGATTCTGCCTCTTCCACTTTGGAGGAGTTTGATAAAATAATCTCTGTGTTATTTTCGAGTTAAGAAAATTTCTGTGTCTACTATTCATATTTCTTTGGCCACTTAGAATTAATACCACCCCTTTTGGTAGTATGCTTGAAGACATGTGTTTTAAAATTACTTATATATATATTTTAAAATCTCTACAATACCAGAAACTGAAAAACCTGCAACTCCTAGAGCCTTGGCAATGCACCCAGCCTACGTCTATGGCAGACGTGTGCTGTGCCCGGGCTGGGCCTAACTGATCCTAAGAGCAACACTTTCTACTCTAAATACTCTTTGACCGTTTCTAAGTTTTAGAATAGAAAATCCAGAATCAGAAAACTGCTTTGTCTGTGGCTTGTCGCCAGCATGATCCTCACAGGCCTGTGAGTCCAGCCAGGGGCTCTCTCGCCATTTTCCCTGATTCCACAAACTCTGCCACCTCATCCAAAGCCTCTACACATCCCGGGACCCCCAACCTCTTTCTCCACCAGTGGCAATTCCAGACTGTGTTCCACCTGCAGCCCCCTTTGTTGGACACCGCTCTTCTGCTTCTCTGTTGACATTATACCCAAGGGAACTTTTAGTACTTATTCTGATGGATCTTCCCTTAGATTTCTTCATCCTTTAGATGACTGCTCTTTTGATCTATACAAATTCATATATGACTTCTCTCCCCACATTTTGATAATCATTAGTAGCCTGCCTGTAGAGATTTCTTTGGGCTCTGAATTCCCTCCCTAAAACATAACGGGCTTGTTATGGGCAGGTGTGTTTAGCAATCTCAGAAAATGTGTTTGGGGAGGTTAAGTCAGATCTACAAGAAAAGTTTTGAAGCAGTGGCCAAATGTTTCCACCTTTAAGATTTAATCAACTTTATTTATATTCCAAATAATTATGGGTGTTTAAGTAAAGAATTATAATATTACTTAACATGGGTTTGCACAATCCAGAATGTGCTAATTTACTTAATTAAATTAATTAACACCTTCTGGATTAAGATCAAGATGTCTAATGCTGTTAATCAATAATGACTTATTAACTCTGAACCACCAAATCAATACTCCCTCTCTTTTAAGTATTCTGATGAATAATTGAAAAGCGGAAACCAGGTCTGGTGGTGCCAGCCAGTAACCCAGCTACTTGGGTGGCGGAGGCAGGAGGATTACACGTTCAAGACCTACTTGGTCTACAGAGTGACCAAGCTTGGGCATCTTAAGTGAGACCCTGTCTCAAAAATAAAAAGGAAAAGATTGGGCTGGAATTCAGTGAGATTGTCTGCCTGGCACCTGTGCTGACCTAGCACCAAAAATCCATAAAAAAAAAAAAAAAAAAAAAAACCCAAAAAACAAAAACAAAAAACAAACCAAAAAAACAAAAACAAAACAAAAAACCTCCTTTGTAACTTATCTTTCTCCAAAATCCAATGAATCAATTATATGAAACTTCAAAATTATAAAGTTTTAAGAAACAAAAAAAAGTTAATGAATTCTTTATTTGACGGCCGACAGACTTATGTGCTAAAAACTCGAATACTTGAAGCACAAAGCAATTTAAAAAAAAAAAAAACACTGGAGACACATCCGCTTAAGGTCGAAGGAACAAAATTACAGAGTTCCTTTGAACAAAAGCAAGCAAACCTGAGATTACTTGTGCTTGATTGTTTGCACTTGCTGTCGCCTGCAGCGCAGGTGCAGACGTGCCATTATCGTAAAGGGCTGTGCGTTTTATTTTTGCTCCAGATTGTTACTTACAGGAGCCCAAAAACGTTACTTTGAAAAATTATCAATTTACTGTGACAGATATGCTGAACAAATTCCAGTAACCTTTGTGCTTGGTAAGTATAGGTCCCACGCAGAATGCAGCCACACAGCTGTCTCCGTTAGATGACACAGGACTGCATGACAGTGCTTCCGGGCTGAGAGGCATGCGGGGGAGAGCCGCCGCTGCTTGCAATGGCACACGGCCGGTCCCTAAGGTTTGCCTTCAGGGCTGCTTCTGCTACATTAACATCGAACAGTTTGAGGTCATAATCTGCTATGGACAAAGCTTTCTCTCCACTAACCCTCCATTTTTGCAGTCAATATTACAGTTCTAATACCCGCTTACTGGGTGCCCTGACCTTGCCAGGCACCTACATTCCCTCCCCTCTTGGAGGGCAAGACCGTAAGGTTTGGATGATACCATCCTTCCAGATCTCGAACCCCTAGAAAGGCTAAAATTCTGCTAAAAGTGTGTCCGTTGAGATGTCTCCGGTGAGAAACTCCATGATGGCTTCTGGTTATCCCACAGGGTTCTATGTTACTCTGGTAGTGAACCGATGGTGGAACCAGTTTGTGAATCTCCCTTGGCCGGACAGGCTCATGTTCCTCATCTCCAGCAGTGTCCACGGGAGCGACCAGCATGGGCGCCTGCTCCGAAGGACGCTGATGCGCTACGTCAATCTGACCTCCCTGCTTATCTTCCGCTCGGTGAGCACGGCGGTGTACAAAAGGTTTCCGACCATGGACCACGTGGTCGAGGCAGGTACGGTGCACGCTTTCTTCTCGTGGGCTCAAGATCAGACGTAGGAACCACCGAAATACTCTAGAAAGTACCTAAGTGTATTGCTTCAAGAAATGTTTGTGGGTTGTCTCCTGTGTGCCAGAAGAATTCTTAAAGGGCAAAGATGAGGAAAGTGTGATTCCTGCCGTCAAGAAGTGTCCTTGGGAGGCAGAGAAGTAGCTGCAAGTCAAGATGTCTTGCGATAAGAGCGATGATGGTAGTCACAGTCATTAAAGCAACCTTTCCAGGGCTGCATGGTGAATGTTTTTATTTTATTCTGAGGGTTGTTTGTTTGTTTGCTTGCTTGCTTTGCCTTGTTTTCTGTTGTGACTTTTGTTTTTGAGACAAGTTATCACTAGGTAGCCCAGGCTGACCTTGAATTCATTGCAATCCTCCAGCCTTAGCCACCCTGGACACATTTGGGGGGGATTCCAGATGTGAGCCACATGCCTAGTTTATAGCTATTTCAATTGTCTCAAGACGTCATGAACACAGAAAAGAATTTAAAGAGATGTCAAGCTGTTCTGAATCACAGAGCTGGTTAGTGAAAGGAACAGAATTAAAATTCAGGTACAGGAACATCAAGATGATATATGTGTTTTGAAACAAAGTCAATTCTGGAACGAATCTGCATGTTGGTTTTTATCCAGGTAAAAAGCCTGGATAAAACTTTGATAACCAAAGTTATCAAAGGCTCTCTCGGTATGGATCTGTCTCTTCAGGGCTTTATATGGTTTCTTGGATCTAGTGTGTCGAAAAGAGTCACGTGTGAAGGATGGAGCTCTGGGCTATGTAAATATTTAACAAAGAAGCTGTAAAACCAGCCTTCAGTGGTGTGAGGATTAAGTGAAGTCACTCTTGGCCCGTGTCGATGATCTGAGCACGCAGAGAGCTCTGCCTTCATTTAGGCTACGATCTCAAATTAAATTGTAATCTCCAGTTTCTAAGTTTTCTAAGAATATTGTTGTTTTGTTGTTGTTATTGTTTGGGGGTTTTGAGGAGAGGTTTTTTTTTTTTTTCCAAGAGAGGGTTTCTCTGTAGCTTTGGAGCCTGTCCTGGAACTTGCTCTGTAGACCAGGTTGGCCTCGAACTCACAGAGATTCACCTGTCTTCTGAGTGCTGGGATTAAAGGCGTGCGCCGCCATCACCACCCGACTATTGTTTGTTTTTTGATTTGTTGGCCTTGTTATTGTGTGTGTGTGTGTGTGTGTGTGTGTGCGCGCGCGTGCGTGTATGTGTGTGCACACGCATGGTATGTGGGGGTTTTTATGGGAGACATAGATAATAACTAAGGGTTGGAATTCTGACTCCACTATTCACTAGTAACATGACGTAGTTTAGGTACTTAGCCTTTCTGTGCCTCAGCTTCCTCAGATATAAAATGGGCTTATGCTAACACCTATGTTTCATACCTTGTAGGTTCACTATGAGAACTAAGTAAGTTAATGGTCACAAAGTGCTCAGAGCAATTCCTAGCATCCGGCAAATGCTATGTCATTTCTCATAAAGGAACCGTCTAGAATAGCGTAGCACAACATTTTGGTCACTTCGAAAGTCTCCTTGAATCCACAACATCGTGGGTATTTTTGATCTATTTTCACCATGAGATTGAGAAAGTTGGGGTGGAGAAAGAAAGCAGGGGTGTTATGTGAGAAAGTTGTGGGGTGCAAGAAATTAGTGGAGAAGCCAGGCAGACGTTTGAGCCGCCTGGGAAATACACAGGTGTATTGTGTGTAACATCAGGAACCAAAGCCAAATTAACGGCCCGCTGTCCTCCAAAGGGAAAGACAGGTCACTGCTTCAAATAACTAACCTGAAACACTCCTGGGAAACTTCAGCTTTGGGAAACTTCAGCTTCTTACCCTAATACTCAGGGAATAAAGATATTAAGGTTGACTTGCTCTGAAGAAAAGTAGAAAAACAAACAAGGAAAGTTAGGCTGAACGAAAGTGCGGCTTCTCCACGGCATGGAAGGGCTTTTTGTTTGTTTGTTTTTGTTTTTGTTTTTCGAGACAGGGTTTCTCTGTAGCTTTGGAGCCTGTCCTGGGACTAGCTCTTGCAGACCAGGCTGGTCTCGAACTCACAGAGATCCACCTGCCTCTGCCTCCCGAGTGCTGGGATTAAAGGTGTGCACCACCACCGCCCGGTTTCAGCCTCATTCTTAAAACAAATCACACCCTCTTAGCATGAGCTCTGTATTAAAAGAATGTCCAGAGGAGCCGGGCCAGCCAGCAATAGAGAAGACTTTGGGGCCTCTGGTCAGACCTGAGCTGTCAGGACTGAACTGGAACTGGGTCCGCAGGCAAGTGAGCAAACTTGGTAGCAGGAGACTGGTGTGACTTTGTTTTCTTTGTGTGTGTTAACACACTTGTGCAAGCTGGCTTGCAACCAAGGTTTTTTTCCTTTCTAAGGTATCTGGGGTGTTGGATTTTACGTCTCTCCCTACTCTCCATACCCCTACCACTCCAAGGGAATCTGAAAAATGAGAGTCAGTCTCTCACTGGCGTACACTCAGAGTCGTGTGTCTGGAAGCCCAGTTCACAGAGCCACAGACCTCGGCTGATGGCGGAGAGATCGGACACTTAAAAGAAATCCCACACGAGCTTAGAACTGAGAGATAGATAGTTACTTATTTAGGGGGAAAACTTACAAGTCAGGATTCTCTGCTTGAACGGTGGAAGGAGATGGGATCGAAGGAGCAAAGGGGAACCAGGGGTGAGGAGAGAAGGGGCGGACTCCGCAGCGAGGTCCCGGTACATAGTTTAAAAGGCCACGCCCCAGTAGGCGGGTCATTACTAGCTGTAAACCTTCCTGCAGCATTCTGTGTCTTGAGTGTTCATTTAAAGTGCATTGTCCTGGACCCCACTTTGAATCTCCTGGATCAAAAATACCTGAGCCTTTGGAAGTGCTGCTTAGACCCCTTCAGTTAAACACGTTTCCATGTCTCTCCTTCCTCTTTGTGTCCCAGACTCGCCTACCGTGGCAGTCCTTCTGCCTCAGCCTCCCTGGGGCAGGGATCAGAAGTGAGGCTCTCCACTCTTGGCTCCACGTCGTCGTCGTCCACACGCTGAAGTTGAAAAGTACCGACTCTTTTAAGGAATGCTTTAAAAACAAAACCAAACAAGCAGCAGCAACACCTCTTTTTCTGATTCCTGGGGGTGGGGGGGGGGGGGTGGGGGCTGAATCTCCTGAGGAGAGAGGCCATTGCTACTAACAAAGTACGGACAATGAAGACGGAGTAGATTCGGACTGTGGGTTTACCAGTGACTGCAGAGTTCAAAGGGTGTCTTCAGCAGTAAGCTTGAGTCACTTGTTTGTGCAGAGCAAGCATAGTTCTGGCTTAAAATGTTTAGTTTCTTTGGACTGGCTGAGTCAGACACTAAGAGGGATTGGATGGAGCTCAAAATCTTTCTCAGAGCCCTTAAGACCGCGACTGATAACCTTCATTAAAAGGCCTTGTTTATCCTGAGGCAGGGGTCTATCCTGGAGGCTGTGTCGAGTGGATTGTCTCCAGTTCAAGGCCAACCCGAGTGAGTTCCTGACCAGACAGAACCACTTAGCAAGATCACACTCAAAGACAGAAAAAAAGTAAAAGGGGCAAGGGTTGTTCTTTAGTTTCCATGTGCTTTTTGTAGGAAGGGCAGAGGACACGGATTATGCTCAGAGGAATGCAAACATGTGCACAGCACATATATGATCTCAGGCCCGTGTGTCAGGTGGCCACCGAGCTGCAGGAACGGCCCCAGAGCCCGGCATTTCCTGCGGCCCCAGCCAGCACGCTCTGTCCGTGGCAGCGCTGACTCATGCAGAGTCTGGCTCCTTCCCCCATCCAGAGGGCTGACTCAGTCTCATCCAGGCTCTGATTCCAAGTTGTGCCACTGGACACACGCCTCCGCTACTCCCTGACTGCTTTCCGCCTGTGCCAAGGGTTCTGGGAAGAATAGGAAGTTGGAGATGGTGGAAAATGTTTGGCAGGTGTCCTGAGTCTAGAGCCAGGGCACCTACTGCTGCCTAAGGGGTTACAGGACTCATAACTATGCCACTACCCTGCATTGTAGGGCAAAATAAGTGGGGGATAATGCTGAGGACACACATACTCCCTCCCACATATACACACATAAACACATGCACACACATACACACACATATAAAACATACAAACATACACATACACACAAACACAAATATAAGCACACATACATACAAAGATATACATATATGCAAACACAAATACACACATATAAACACACATACATACAAACATACACATAAACACATATA